CTGAAACATTTGGAGGTCGTTACAAAAATTGTGATCCTAATTCCGATAGCGGTCCGCGTGTAGGGTGGACCGCGCGGTATACTGTCGCTGCTAATGTTTGGCCGGGATTTGCATACGTCTGTCTGGTCTATCCATTCCTCTGTACACCGGTGCATCTCACCTTGTTGTCTATGGACGTGTATACGACCGGTTAGGTCGGCTCCCAGTCTGTATCGGGGCTGCTATTATACACAGGACCGAACAAGTGGCTCACGGCGCAGGCGTGTGTACAGGATGATCGCCCATTACCTTGCCGAAATAGGGTATTGTGCCAAGACCGTGTTCGTCGACGCTATCCGCCTTTCCCGCTCTTCCAGCGACCGACTGCCTTCGGGCCAGGAACTTACAAAATCTAATCAGGAGGGTACGAAGACAAAGCGGTGTGTTCGAGCAGCTTGCACCGAGAATTAAGTCCTGACTACCGCCGCTGACAGGGCTTATCGATATTGTTTCGTGAAGGACGATTTCTAGGGGTGGGAGAGGAGGAGATTCGGTTCTCGGTTCCGGTTTCCATGGAATTGGGGTCGACGTGGCGGGAATGATGATGCTTGACAGATTAGAGCACGGGTTACTTTTCATAGAAGCTGTGGCGTGGCTGGTGACTTCGCTTCCACACAGGTTGCGCGTTCTTTATTATTGTAAATATTGGTTGGGGTAAAAGGAGCGCGGTTGGTTAGGTTTCTGTATCAAGAGTTTCTTAGCGTTGATTTTGTGAGGCTTTGAATTCGAGTGAAAGATAGTTTTCGTTTGGTAAATAATAATATGATAATCGGATGGTGTAAGCGTGGTTGGTTAGATTTGTACATCAAGAGTTTCTTAACAAATTCGTGACCGGCAGATATTTTACGTTTCTAATACCGAGTACTGGCGAAAATAATAAAATTCTAAAGCTGGATATCGCAAATTTGTATCATTGGGTCGAAGATAAAAATTATAAAATATGTTTGGAAATATCAATGTTGTAAATATGTTGTATATAAAATATAAAGATTTCCATAATTTTTTCATAACCAGGAATAGAATTTTAAGTGACGTGTATTCACGTCAGCGGGCGCGAATTAGTGTTGATTTTATGAGTGTTGAAATTCGAATGAAGAGTTCTTTTTGGTTAATAAATAATTATAAAAGTTAAATGGAGAAAACATTTGTGACTCGTTATGTTTCTATATGGGAAGGTTTCGTAATGTGATTATTTAAATATTTTTAGAACCATTAGCAAACAATGGTAATGTGGTTCGGAAAAAGAAAGTTCATTCTTGAATGGTTCTACAGGGACACGATAAGTTTTACTAAAAATGCCGTGTTATTAATCTTCATTTGCTGGAGTTACTGAAGTTTAAATGAAGTTACATGATTGTATGAAGTTCACATAAAGTGTGATTATGTGCAAACAAGAGTACACGCATAATCAACGACACTGACTATTGTTACAGATAGTATCGAAAGGATTAACTATTCAATTATTAAGTACGATATTACTGCAATTTTTTGTGATAATTATTAAAATAAGGGATTAATATTAACAGATCGATTCGCATCCTCCTCGGCTAACTTATATGATATCGTAATTAAAATGTTAATAGTAGATCTATAAACCCAATCGATTTGACCAATCCATTTTAAATTTTTTTTAAAAATTAGTCGATTACTGAGTCTAGTTTTATGGCAATATTTGTGACAATTATTGAAATAGAGAATTAATATATTAACAAATTAATTCACTTCTTCTTCACTTAACTTAAAAGATATTGCGATATTTACAATACATAAGTCGTAACCTAGGAAGTTCCAGTGTTAACACATTCGCGACCGGCAAATGTTTTACATTTCTAATACCGAGTACTGACGAAAATGATAAAATTCTGAAGCTGGACATCGCAAGTTTGTATCGTTATGTTTTGAAATATCAATGTTGCAGAATATGTAGTGTATAAAATAAAAAGATTTTCATAATTTGGAATAGAAAACAGGAGCAGAATTTGAAGTGACGTAAATTCACGTCAGCGGTCGCAAATGTGTTAAGAAACTCCGTAACAATCGCGTGTTTGTCGAACACTGACGAGCTCTGTGGATACTTTCCACCCAGGAATCGGGCAGATTCGATCTCCGCTACGATTTTTCTCTCCCAGGGTCACAGTACCAGTCGAAATCATGGCAGGGTAACGAGAAAACCAGAGATCCGTGAATGAATTCTGTTGACGTCGGAGCGCCGCGCGATCCACCGTCAACGAGACTCTTCCTGCGCGAAATTCGGTTCTCCCCGGACGGGTTGATGTATGCAAATGGATCCGCCGTTGTAACTACAAAATTTCTAGTCGGACCGTAGCTCCACCTGGCCGGGGTTACACGCCGGTATGCGGATTAAACCAACGAAAAAGCTTCCCCCCACGGGCGTATCTGGTCGACGGGCAGTCAGCGTGAGGTAGTTTCATTACTTGATTTGATCCGGCAGACTGGACCGCGACAAACGCGGCAGCACAGAAGAGTCCGGCCGTGCACTGGATAAGGGAATTGTGTTTACTCGTAGTTTGCATACTAGTTACCGCGTTTGCCACCCACTTTACGCGTAACAGGCCCGTAAACATCTTCAGTGGATGGGGCCACTCGTCGTACGTCCCCTTTGTCCGTCGCTTCCTTTGCACCTCCGGCCACTTCCTTCCATTCTTTAACTCCCTGTTACTCTCTCCTCTTCTTCTGTCCGCCGCTATTGTCTCGCCGTCCTTTGTACCCCTTTGACTTTCGTCGTGCAATTCATTCTTGCCAGGAAGTCGGCCGAATTTAGATCCCGCGCCGGGAGTTTTACTCGACGATGGTTGACGATGTTAAACATCGCGATATCGATCCCAGTTCAACAGTCGGATGGCGGAGACGAGTCATTTTTGGCTTGTGATGAATTTCATTACTCGATCTTGCTAGCTTTTATATATCCATATTCCAGAGAATCAACTTTGACAAACATTAATGTTTATATTATGGCTACGAGCCAGCTCGCTTAGGACTTTCTCGGGATCTTGTCTTCGTTTAAAGCACTAAAGGGCGCCTTATCTGCATTAAGTATTGAAAGGAACAAGATGGCTTAGGAGCAACAAATTTTAAGGATTATACACAAGTTTGTTTGAGAAAACATAAATGTAATTGTTTGTTCGATAAAATACACTGACGTCAAAAAATTCGAGACACTTTTTCAAAACGTCATAAATATGAGAGTCAACCGATCTTCGAGAAACTTCGTGAGGCTTAGTTTTAAAGTGTCCTCTGGATGTGTGCAAAGTTGCATTGACGAGGGTTGATGAGAAGGGGTTAATTCACCCTTCTAAATGGGGTAGTGCAAAAAAACGGCACTTCGGAAGGGTCCAAGGGTGACGGAAGGGGCTGAAAAAATCAAAAAAACCTTTGGGGTGACTCTCCTTGATGCCCTCTACAAAATACACCCCCGTGAAATCGCGTATAAACATAAATGTCCTTACAGTAACAATAAAATGTAATATGCGCAAAAAACTACACATAATACACTGTACAACATATTTTTGTGTTTAAAGCATATGTCTGTGAAATGTGTCCATCGATAAAAACAATCATAAGAGACATTTACTTAGAAGCCAAACAATATGTCGTCTTATAGGCAAAATATGGATAAAAATTGACCCACCTAATGAACGAACTGATAGTCGTGGAATCTGCGGTAGGTTTTGAGATATACGTTGTTTGAAACTGTTCTGTTGTTACGGGGGTGGGGGTTGGAGGGATGATATATAGTTACTGAAAACGCATTGCGTCCATTTCATTGAAGTTTCGTTCGAAATATTTGGATTATCTCTATGGTATTTATTAGCTAGCAAATAGGGATTTAGAGTTAATGTGATTTATTAAAGGAATTTTGGTATTTATTTCAGTATTTATAGACGAAGAGAAGATAGATAATTACAAGTAATTCAATGTTACTCGTAAGTTTATATTAAAATAATATTCCATATTGTCCTGCATAAGTATAAAGTCTGAAATAACTGAGACTGTCTAAAACTGGAAGTTTTAATAACATTTCACTCGTGAAAAGGGAAATTGAAGTTAGAGTTAATGAATATAATTTTGGAGTATTTTTAGGATAAGAAGAAATTAGATAATTTTAAGATTTCAATTATTAGTATTCTATAATATTTATAGATTTATAATTTACAGCCTACTTAATTTCTCTTCTTTTCATTTTTAATGATCAAATTAAATACTGCAGCGAGTTCACTTTTTGTTTCCCACTTGAAAATCAAGTGAAGGAAAAACCAATCGAATATAAATATATTGCCATTATATATGTACAATTATACATATATATTGTTGTTATTGCTGCTGAGTTATGGTTTATAATAAATGAACGCGCAGTGCGAGAGTCGCAACCGATGTTTACCAAAAATAATATTAAACAGTATTTTCTCTTTCACGTACAGCAGAGGAGTTAACGAAACATGTAATTTCATTTACCTTTCTGCGTATCATGAGCGCCAGTATCAATGAAAATAAATCAAAACACATTCCTCGCCGCATTTTCTGACCCATCCGTTTTACAACTACACGTTCATGTATTAACACGTTTTAGTAGAGGTAATAATTTAACGTTTTGGGTTTTATCCGTCAATTTGCAATGACATTTTTATTATTTTAATAACATAATGAAGTACCACGATAAACTAATTATATACTAGTAAACTATCGAGTAATTTAGAGTGTGGTGAAACAATTAATAGAAGAGTCATAGAAGAGTCTAACTAAATAATATTCCTTTTTTGTATCGAAGAAAAATAGTTATTATACCAAACAGAGTTTTGTACGCGCTGGGGGGCCTCTAAACAGGTGCGAGCGGCTTCTAACTAACCCTTTTTAAATGCAGACACTGTTTGCGTGGCCAGTCGAATCTCGCGACTTCGTCATGTGTCAAAATTCATTTAAATCGGCATGTGTTTTGCTTGCAGGTAATAAATTCCAGTCGAACCTGAGCGAGATCGGGAAGTCGGAGCAAAAATCGAGCGACCCGGATCGGAAAAGGAATTACGATTGGCCCCCAGACAGCGGTAAGCACTGTTGCTGCTTGAAACCGTGGACTAATTGAACCCTTTGCACTCGGAGCCATCTCGTTGCAAAATGTGCAATTTATAACTCTAGTTCGAGTAAAAGTATTCATTCGGCATCTTGATAAGTTGAAGCACCAACCTTCTGAGTTCTCGACCTGATTACCATCAATCTATATATTGTTAGGTTCATTATAAAATGAATTGATACAACTTGGAAGACGCTAGTTGTAGAAAACAATGAGAAGAAGTTATAAGAAACAATTTCACTAAAGTCTTGCGTTGCTCGTTGTAATTTATATTAAATCTTGAATTGAACGTTTCTTCTCTTCATCTTCAATTTAATTTTAGCTTGAAAGGCAAGACGCAGTCTATTATCCTACATTATTTTCTGGTTAAATAACATCACGCGGGTGGAATGTAAATAATATTTCGAAGCGAGCATCGAATGTATATTATGAAATTAGTTAACGTGCCTGTGAATTTTCCTGCGTCATTTACATTCTGGATTTCGTGCATCGTTACAACGAATTATCGTGACATTAAATTGTGAGTGATAATTGTATTCCCGTTGCTAAAATATGACGAGATATATTTAAAACGGCGTACGGGTAAATTTGAATGTAGTTGGAAATGATAGTTGGACAAAGATTATTTGATGCAAGGAAATGAGTGATTTTTGCATTAAATTATAAAGATGGCTCAAGCTAAAAATGCTTTGATGAATAATTAAATAAAGGGTTGTAAACTCTATGTAATAACTCTGCAGGAAAATTAGCTATAATACTTATAGCTTTAAACTGAAATAAAATTCCATTTTGTTGCTCGATTAAGTGTTATACCTCGAGTACATTGAATAAAAGATAAGTGGCACAACAAATTGTCACCTTATACACTATCCTTATACGCTAATATTAAAAGTTACCTAATACTTCAACATCCATACTTTAGACATTGTGCAGTTTAAGTTTCTACCGGCAAAATGAGTAGGATATTGTACAGCTTCCAGGAAACCAATTTCTGAAAAGCAATCATACTTGTCCGACTAAAATTTCATCCATCAAAAGCGAAACGACTCAGGATAAATATGTAGTATATTTGAATCCTACAATCTTGAGCATTGTAAGGATGTTTCTTCGTAGTTATTCACTGTTGAAGCCATGCACACACAGCATCACGCGTTATACTCCAGATGGAATGCACTATAATATTTAGATAATTTTTTATTTACGATATTTAGAAACTCTATATGTAACAAATCTAGGCTTATCCTCGCTTCAGCGCACAATAAACATACGCAAACTCTATTAACTCGTGACTGGTCAACAATTTGTTAACAGCAAAAATCCGTAGTTATTTTCGGGACAACCGTATATAATGGAACCATGCTCAAAATTCGCCGCAGCAAGCGTCCCTCAGAAACTCGGCGAGCTTTCGACGATTCCTGCGCGAGACAGTTGGTAAGGTCTCGATATCGGGGGCTTCGGGGTTCTCGCAGTTCGAAAACGAATTTACCCGAGGACGCTCCGGGAAACGGTTCGACCTTCGATACAACGAGGTTCCCCGGCTACCAAAGAACTGGAAGTACTTATCAAGTTGTGGAAGGCTCGCGAAACGCGGTCCTTGCAGCATACCCGCGTTCCCTCATCCGTGCCACCCCTTTTCACCCCTGTTCGTTGCTCGACGGGCGAAATTACCTACTTCCACGGGACTATCAGGATCGAGCCCGCGGAGAAAACGGATTTTCACACTTTGCCATTATGCAAATCCTTTTAAAAAGAAACCACGCCTGCAGAGAAAAAGAGAGAGGAAGAGAGAGAGAGAGAACGCCTGGGCTGTATCGAGGACCGAAGGGGGTGCGAGACTGTCTGTTCTGAAAGAGAACCGAGGGCGAGTCTGGACAAAGATGGTCGAAGCTGGAGAGGCGAGGGACGGAAAGAAATATTCCAATAATGCCGGAGGCCTCGAGGAATTCTGCCAGGGCGCTAAGCCTGACCCAGGCTCGACGTTCGGAGCCGCTGTCATTTAAATGCCACTGCCGAGCCACGAAATGCCGGATAAACCGCAACTTCGCTGGGAAACCGTCCGAAGGTTTTGTTTCCTTCGGTGCTCATTTGCCGGATCTTTTTCTATTCGTGGCAGATTTCAATAGTGCCGACTCCGCTTGATATCTGACTTCGATTCTGAAGCGGACCGAAGTCGGCTCCGATACCGGTGTCCGAGCTATTATTAATTTTTCCGACTGAGAGACGCGCACTCTGATGAAACGACGGCCCGATTAATGAGCAGGCGGTTGTGGAAACTCCCGATGAACACCGTCTATACGAATGTTTTCCTTTCCGTCGTCCGTTCGTTCGTGAAGGCGACCGCCGTTTCTGTTATCGTTCCGATCCGTCGAGAACCATTTATACGCTGACGGTGGTTGATATTTCTTTTCCTTTTTAAATCTCTACTGCTCTTGAACGACGTAATCGAAGCGGTATTTTACGTGGCAGGACGAAGCACCGTGACTGTTTTAACCTGTGGCGAGCATGCGAACTAGTGGTGTCGCGGTGATGATTTCCTGGGACGTTAACTCGTGTTTTCATGTCCAAACCTTGTTGACTGGTCAGGAGTAAACTTGTGTTTGCACTTACATTATCTATTCTAATTGATGAAACCCAGGGCGATTTAGAATATTGCAAAAGCTTTGCTCATCGAGTTTAGTCCTGTCGGATTTTGATTCTTTTTTAACAATAGAATATACTTTTTTAAAGCTTATAAAGTTCATTGGAGTTTATTTAGATTGTTTTAATTTCACATTCAATTACTAAATAGTAGGTCAATTACGTAATAGTGATATGAAACCGCTCTGTGCAAAATTGCTGATCAACAATGTGTTGACTATAGTGTCGAACGAGTTGATCGAACATATCATGTATTTGAATATTTTCTATAATTGAAACATGAATATGAATATACTCCTCCTCTACTCATCTCCCTATTAGAATTTTCTCAACGTAAATATATGTATAAATATGTAACCACATATTTGTTTAAGGAACTTCACTCTGATGCAACTTTATCTAGTTTATGGTTAGGAAGTTAAATGAAAAAGATGAGTAGATGTACATTCAACTATGGAGTATATATTGCTAGCTACTTTTGCAATATATTATTATGACTCTAAACTACTCACCTCAAAATAAAAGTATCAGTAAATACTTCATAAGGAACAGTCAAAATATATACAAGAGGCGAAATTTCTTACTAGTTTATATATTAAAGTATACGTTCGATGCAATTTCATAAGGAGAGCACAGTTATGTTTGCAACAACGTGGACATCACTTCCAACAGTTCATAAATTAGACGAATTCTGGAAATCTGTTCATCGATCCATCGGCAACGTTTACGAACAAGAGTAGAGATGATATACAATGAAATCCATCGAGCTCAAGCTGGTCAAGTGCACTCGTACACGACAAAATTTTCGAACTTCTCTTTCTCGAAAATAAAGCGTCATACGAAGAAATTTTATTCTACATTTTCGATTCAATTTTTCACGTAGAATCACTCCCTACTCGCTTGTATCACCAGTCACGGGACACCCTGTATGAAAGAAATAAAATATTATTCATGTTATGGAATAAAGCTCACTCATAAACCGTCTGTATTAAAGTACTAGGGACCAACGTTATATAATATAAAATACAATCGACTAACAACAATTTTGAATAACTATACGAACCACGTGTTTCGAAGAACACAAGCACGATCAACACCCAGAATATACCCGAGCACGATCAACACCCAGGATATACCCGAGCACGCCCACAAAGATAACCCAGTGGGCATCCTGCGTCCATCGGAACAGACCAGCCCGAATTACTCATTTTGGTCCGCCGTGACGCGGCTCGATTGGCGGGAAAAAAGTGACTGCTGCCGCGTAGCCGCAAAAGCCGACGTCAAAAGTCGAGGATGAAAAACAGAACAGCAAAAGAACGGCAGACATAAAGCGCAGCGCAAAATCGCCAGGACGAGATCCCCGCGGGTATTCGAGAAGAAAGGAGTAAAACGTCAGCGCTGGGATCGGGCAAGGTGGTCATGGCCGTGGAACGAACGGGGAAACAACGACGAGGGGAGGCTCGGGGGATGATTGGGGCGGCGACCCAACCGGGTTGTTTCTGATTTGTAATTAGAGATGAGCGAGGCCAAGAAGAGCCAGCGGAATACATCTCTTTCGGAGCGAGTAATAGCTGAAAGTATAGGGCAGGCCAACCGGAAGAACAACTCTGACTTCCCCATTCTCTTGTTTCCTCATCGTCTGTCCGCCCCTGCCCCCCCCCCTTTTCCAAGGTTATCCTTCCACTGAATTCTCGTCTTGCCGGAAGGATCCTTCGCAGACTGTCTTTCCGTAGAAACGAACGGCAGATTTTCTGCGGGAACTTCTTGATTGCGCATCAGGCCTTTCGGGGCTACTGACGCGATTTTTACGGTTGCGAGTTGCGACCCGCGCCGCAATTTCCCGTTTTCTCGGTGCTTTCGGCCCGTTTTTAATGCACCGTGATGGGAGTGCACGGGATCTCGTGTTTCTGGAGCCCTCAACGGGACTGAAAGCATTTTTCCTGGCGTTTGCGTCGCTTGGCAGGGCGAGTGAAGTGAATTCGCAGAGGTAAAATGGTAACGCTGGCTAGGAGGAATTGGTTATGAAGTTAAAATAATTTTTTTGTTTGATCTTTTTTAATTTTTTTGTTCAATGAATCATTTGGGGAATCACGTGTTGAATGGATTGTTTCTTTACAGGTACATCTTGTACTGCATTTGATTTTATTTTAGAGTGTTGAAAATGATCGAACCTTTGTCTTTGGATTCTTGAAGTGCTTAATTATTGTTCTTTTGGTTATATGTCGTTACCTATATTCATTAATTCTATGATTATTAACCCTGGTTATGTTTATACTCTCTTCTTTGCTCACAGGTTTGTAATTTTGTACACTTTTGGACTATTTTGCATATTGTCTGAGTCTTCACGAGTCGATTGTTTTCTATGTCGTAGGACGTGTATACTTGAAGAGGAGCAATAATTAGTCGAAACGTTGAGCTTATTAAGTACAGATATACTGTTTTCCCAGTTGTTCATAATACTACATTTGTTTCTTGTATATATTCTGAATGTTCTTTATGAAGTGTCCACTAATATCTTTATTATGAAAGGATAACTTTAAAGTGATAACAATATATTAAATAGACTGGAAAGTAATGTCGTTTCTTTTACACTAAATTCAAATAAATTTTTGATAAATTTCTATTTTTAAGCAATTATGTAATCGCCCTCGTTATCAACAGCCACCTAGTGTGCAAATTTTCAATGACCGATAAAAATCAACGAGCTGTTGAGTGATAAACAAGGATTTAAAATTGCAAAAACGACATTACTTTCCAGTCTTTTTAATAATAGCAACTGGCGATTATACTCCGTCATTAAATGTTGAACATCTACCAATTTTTCAAAAAATTTTCCTTAAACCTACTAATGAATAAACCCGTGATCATAAATTTAAAAGAAAATGTAATTTTAAATGGATTTTTACACAGAAACGGAGAATTTATGTGCCACGTCAAAGAAATCAAATTATCTTTTTAAATTAACGTTGACATTGCAACTTCAATTCATATAAAATCATGTCCCCTTTCAAATTTATAACCACGTGTAACTTTGTTGTATACAGCATATACTTTTTTTCTTATCAAGCCGAATGTCTAAAAAAATTCTTTATTTATTCTAAATGAAATTGAAATTGAAATTTTTTCACTTGTTCCTTTATTATTAATATAATTATATTCTAAATTAAACTATACAATTCCGAAGATGGTTGTAAAAACATGAAAACGTCAAACGTAAAACGTACACCCTGTCATGATTTTGCTTACCTAATAGGCTATCAATCTCCAGTATTTTAAAATAATGGGTCGTTAATGCGTTACAGATTGCTCTATAAATATACATATGTTTGGATTCGAGAATAAAATGAATATTAATGGCCTGCTTTTTCAAACAGGAACGAGAGATTAATAACACGCACGTATGCATTGTTGTTAAAATTCATATAATATGCTTTTTCAATGGTAATTACTAATTATTGATAACTCGATAATGTCTCTTCAAACCACAAATTTTCATTTCTATCTAGTAATAACTTTCATTTAACTTGACGATGAGGCCTTAGGGGGGTCTTGAAATATGTCTGTCTGTAGTAATACTCATTACTAATTAGAGCAAGAATTTTTTTCACATTTTAATTCAGTATTATGTGCTATTGATATTACAATAAGTATGAAGATAAACCTAATTACATAATACTATTGACTAGGAAAAATTTAAAGATAATTACATACATGGTACTCCATTTCCAAAATATATATTTCGTGTTCGTTAAAAACGTTGCTAGTTTCCAAAATAAGATTGGAGGGGTGATCCTTCGTAGAGTACTTTCATCGTTTAAGTTTGAGTCGTGGTACCCAAGAAATAAAATTCATTTTCTTGAATTTTACCACGTCCACAGGTATAGAGAAAGAAGGACACTTCGATATGGTTCCATGTTAATACCATTAGAATTAATTACACGTCCGGACTTTGAATGCTACGAACTTTCGTTCATTGAACTCTCACTCAACTCTCATGTCGGAACTCCACGTGGGCTACCCAAAACTTACGAATTAAATTGTTTAGATTTTAAATGAAAATTATTTATGATGTTATACAAAATAGCAACCACCATTAGTCTTTGTAGTACAAACTCACTTAAAATATTAATGCTGTAATATCAATCCACATAGGATCTATGCATATGTTTTCGGACATACACCCCTGTCCCAAAAATAACCAGATAGCTTTAAGAATAAGAGAACTAGTTAGAAAATTTTGACATAATCATTTTGTTCATTCAAAATATTCTCCCTCAGCCGAAATACAACGATTTGCACGTTCAGAAGGTGAAAAAAGTAAAAAAAATCGGTGAAGATTGACGATCGATGAGAAGGTGTCAAGGGTCAACATCCCCTATATTTATCCGATTTAGCTCCCTGCGATTATTTTTAGTCTCTAAATTGCATTTGACGATGAAAGGAAACCGCTGTGCATCAATTGAAGATATTCAACGAATAACGACGAGCAATATCAACACCATTCCAATCACGGACATAAAAAAAAGTCAGTTGATGCACTTTTTGAACGTGCAAAGCATTGTATTTCGGCTGAGGGAGAATATTTTGAATAAACAAAATGATTATGGCAAGATTTTCTACCTAGTTTTGTAGTTTTTAAAGCCATTATTATTATTTTTGGGACAGAGGTTCGTCAGAGATTCATTTTTACTAACTGTACTTCACAAAATATTTTTACATTACACCTGCCTTTTATTATCAGTAACTACGCATTTATATTTATATTCAGTGTACTTCAAGAACCTCGTACATACATGTATATGTTCTTAAGAAATTTGTATAACTTGAATGCAAAAAAAAAAATATACATGTCGAATTGAATAACCTCCTCCTTTTTCGAAGTCGGTTAAGAAGGAAAAGTTACTTTCACTTGCTACTATATAGTATATTCATTTTACAACGAGCAACCAATAAATTAATTTACTCTAACATGACACCAACTAAAAAATAAAATTCTGCATTCAAATGACAACGACAATATCAAGTTACCATTTTAAATCAAAATACAAATTTCTATCAAGGTTGAACTAACAGCAAACTTCTATTTCCTTTCCAGATTCAGCTCTGACCATCACGACGACAGGACTGCTGCTAATGGCCGCCCTGATCGCGGTGACGATCGTTCGATAAGCGGAACCGGAAACGGACGCTTTCGCGGTCGGATCATCTGTAATTAGGGACTCGATTTAAACCTAACAGAAAACTAAATGAAGTTAGAAATCGATACGGATACAAGGAGCACGGGCACACGTACACGAGAAACCACAGGATCCACGCACAAACACGCATACATACCAACACAGACACATACATGTACACGCATACAATGAATACAGGCGAAAATTGACTGAGTAGTTAGTGTCGTATTAAAGAAAAAAAAAGGAAGTGGAGGAAAATAAATAAATAAATAATACTAAGAATAATAATTACGCGTGCCAAGTCAGTGTAGCGCAGTGTCCAAAAATGAAGACGAACGAGATGGGAGGAGAGAGACGGTGGGATAGAAAATGAATTTCTACCGAGCAACGAGCACGAGGCGTGGAGGACGAGGAAAAGGGTCAAATCACAAAGTGCAACGACTATCGCTTTCAGTGTAACATATTGTATAACGCCGTAATGTCGCCGCAGAGACCGCGCCAACGATCTCGAATTTCGCTGCAAGCCAAGCCAGTTCGAGCATGAAACGTTCCACGAGGCATCTCCCGCGAGTGTCTTTCCCTTAATTCGAGCTTCCCGCGCCGACGATCCCCGTGATTGAACCCGCTAGTCGATCTCAGTGATTAAAATCAACCTTGTAATCAGTTTTACCGCCGAATAGAATGCTCATGCGACTCGGAGTGGTCGTAAAGTGGATGTTTAATGAATCGTTTCGAGAATCACGTGTTGAATGCATTGTTTCTTTACGGGTATCTTGTATCGCATTTTATTTTATTTTAGGGTGTGGAAAATAATTAAACCTTTTGTCTTTGGATTCTTAGAAGTACTTATAGATGCTGGTGTTTTTGGTAAGAAAAACAAATGAGCAGGTAATTCATTTGGCTTCTTATTACTGAAAATACCAGCACTTCGTTTAATTTTTATTTTGACAATTTACGAGAACAATTTTATCGTCGATAAAAATTGAAGAATGAAATTTAATAATTCTTTCTTATCCTGCAGGTCTTATTGATAATTTGTTGATGTAGATTTTTATTTTGAGGTTTTCCTTAATGTTTGCAAACATATTTTTCCTTTTTTTAAAGCGTTCATTTCAGTTTGAGATTCCCATGAAGAAATTAAAATTTTATGCTGAAAATTGCATCTGTTTTAAAAGAAACCAGTGATTCATACTTGTAATTACGCGAAGAAGGCAAATCACATGTTGAATGAATTGTTTCTTTATATTTATACTCCTGTATTGCGTTTCATTTTATTCTAGAGTGCAAAACGTATGAGTTAATTCCTTTATTCTTAGATTCTTGAAAAATTTGCAAACATCTGGTGTTTTTCTGAAAGAGAATTTATTTTTCAGGATAATAATATTTTATTGCTGCTAAAAATACAAGCATTTGTTCATATTATTATAATTGAAACGACCAACAAAAAAAAAATACTATTTTCAATGAAAATAGAAAAATGAAATTGAATAATTACTTCTTGTTCTGCAAATATCATTGACAATCTGTGAGAACAAATTATATTGTAAAGCTTTCCTTAACATTTGCGAGCATATTTGTCGTCATTAACGTCAAAGAGTTCCGTTAATGTTTAGCCAAATCTCGTTTGTGGAGAATCGTAAGCAAGAAAGCACAAACGACCTACAAAGAGAAATAAAATCAAAAATATAAGAACATAGAAATCTTCTTCTCAACGAACCTAACGATGCAAAAATACATTACTCCATCATTCCTCTCCATTATGAAATACTAGGAAGGAAAATAAATAAAGATCGTTGAATGAAGAACCCACCTCAGACGCGAACTATTCGACGCAAACTCGAATTAAACTGTCGGTGAATTATTAACTCGTAAGGAGTTTTAGCTTCGCGATAAATTAATCAGGGCGCAAACTTAGCTACGAATTCTTCGTTACTAAGTAAATACACCCTCTCCATAATTCGTCTCTCGAGTAGACTGTTCACGAAGTTAACCTTTTCTCGCCAACGAACTGTGAAAGGACAAAAAACAGCGATGCAAGTACAAATTGTCTCTGCCATCGATTTCGCCTTTTTCCTTTTCCCTCCCCATAGACTTCCCTTTTTATTCTGTCTGCAAAGTGTTCTTTCCGCCCTCCCCCTTCTATCTTTTCCCCCCCTAGCCGAGTCTTTTTCTTTCTCCGTCTCGCTCGTCGTTCTGTTTCTTATATACGAAATCGTGGATCCCATCTGGATACTTGAGATTAAAACGTCGAGTTCGGTACGGAGGATGCTCTTGCACGACGAGATCCCCCGCAAAGGAACGAAAAAGAATTAGAAGTCGAAAGTGCGGGAAAGTCAAGAACGGAGGAATATTAAAGAACGGAATATTATTATTTGCGAGCGTCTTCGATCGCGTTCTGTGTCTCGATGAAACCTCGGACAGGGTTTCTTTGTTGGCTCCCTCGTCGGGTCGCTTCTTATTTCGACGAGTTTTCTTTCACTTTGCCGCGTGTTCCCGACGAGACAATAACATGCTTCCTCGTGAAGCTTTTTTATTTATGTAACTGATTGAAGAATTGTTCGGTTCTAGTCGGTTTTTGTACGTTGTCGCAAATTGAAATTTGAAGATTGTATAATTAAAACAAAATCTGTGGCAATTGCTTTTTGTTTGTTACTTTGGTAGTAGGAGTGATGAAGTAGAAAGATTTTGTTATTGAATAAAAATTTTTAATGATTTTCTATCGACATTTTGGTTGCTTATATTAATGGGTGGTTCTCTTCGAAGAAAATTATTCTTTGTTGTATCTCTTGTCACTTTTTCGAGAGGTTTTTCGAAATCCAACTAAAGAAAAGTGTTTTTTGCTCCCTTCAAATCTCCATACGTTTTTAGCATTTTACTATTAGAAACATAATTCATCCCTTCAACCCTCTGCACTTTGAAATTATCTGCACATTGCTCTCCAGCTATTTTCCTATATCTACATATAAACAATAAAAAGTTCAGGAAAGCTCCAAGGCTATCCCAAATTTAATCTACAATTATTTTTGTGAAAACTATAATTTCTTTTGCGCCACAATAATAAACTCTCTTCTCCACCAAAGAATTTTACTTCTGAAATAATCTTTACAATTTATTGAGTAACTTGAGGAACAAAGAGAAATCTTATCGAATAGTTTTCCTTTCCTCCTCCATGCTCGAAACACTCAAAAGACTACGCCAAAAAAGCGACGCAATACGCTATCGCAGACTGCGAACGAACCTCTTCGAACTCCCTTTTCCCTGGATAAGACGCGAGATCGAAACATGCAAATCAGTCTCCGTTGGAGAAATAAAAGCCAGGTTGGAGGAGGTCTCCACGGCGCGTGTGACACCTGTGAAAACGGGCTTGTACCTTTCACGAGAGTGCCAATTACGCATGGGAAAGCATGCGACTTTTTCCCCTTTTGTCTCGCCTACGGGGACGGTGTTCTCTCGGTGGATACTCGTGTAAAATCAAGCCCGAGCGGTGCTACATACGGCTCTTTTCTCTTCCGCTGTTTCACGCACTTTTGTTGCGCTCTTTATCGCGTTATTTAGCTCCGTCCGTGCTTTCACGCGAGGGAAACCCGACACGCGAGCGCGGTAAAAAAAATAGGGACGTTCTATAAAGATTAATTTTGACATAATGCGGCTGTCTCCTCTCTTCCACCGTAATTAAAGTCGCAAACGTAGCCCGAGAGCAACGAGCCCTGAGGTAATTAAAGAGGCAAGTCGTCCGAATTAAACGCTTCCTCCTCGCTGTTTTTTGTCCATTCCTATCGGTAATTGATTACTGTGAAAATTACCAGCACGCTTCGGCTTCGGACGCTTCCTGAAAATGTGAGAGAAGGAATGCTAGTTTGACAAAGTGCCGATTTTGGATTATTCGATGATTTTCGTTAAAATTAATCGTTCTATATTAACACATTCGCGACCGGCTGATATTTTACGTTTCTAATACAGAGTACTAACGAAAATAATAAAATTTTGTAGCTAGAAATCGCAAATTTGTATCATTAGGTCGAAGATAAAAATTACACGATATTGTAAATATATAGTATATCAAATAAAAAGATTTTCATAAGTTTTTCATAACCAGGAATAGAATTTGAAGTGACGTGAATTCACGTCAGTGTTTTAGGACACCCCGTATATTCAGGGTAATTTTAATACACAAACTTTACTTATTTGAATTCAGAATTTTTAATTACAAACTGAAATAGTACCTGCATCATTTCTATTTGTATATTGAATGAGGAAAGCAAATGTGACATTTCGTGCTCGAACAGGTTCGATGACGTAACTCTAGATTAACTTAAACCAGGGATCCGCGATTACAAACCAATTAAACAAAAAAAGCGACGCACCGAGGTATTCCGAGGTATACCGAGATTTCACGTTTAAATGTTTCCTAGGGTGTCTATATTGACTAAAGAGCTGCTCGAATTGTACATACGTATAACCTTGAACAAAAGAAAATATTAATACGTTTTTGACTAAGATATATGTAGTTTGAGATGCTGAACATGATCACCTTCGCTCATTTTTACACTATTCATTCTAAAAACGAAGTTTCATACAAGAGTTGTGTAGTTTTGAAGATAAAACGTATAACAACAATCACTTTCCTTCTGCTTTGATTGTTAGCGAATTTTCAATGTCACTTTGAACATTTTAAATAGTGCTCACCTTTTTTGAAGGAATTCTGAATAACAAAAAATTGCAATTAAAAATGTGTTAAGGTTTATGTGTTCTGAATCCACTAAATAATGTAACATCCATGTAAATCTATTTTGTTAGATCGAATCTATGAGTCAAGAATAACAATATATGCGTTATAATGCTTATCAGTGCAGTTATTTGATAATCAACATGTATAAAATTATCTCCATTTTTATTTATAACGTGAACTATAAAGATTAGAAGCCACAATTCAGAACATACACTAAGGGAACACGTGTTGTATATGGTATACGTGTAGTAATATCAGAGTTTCAAGAAACTGTGTTTTTGATACACAGATTACGCTTTTTATGACTTATTTTGTTACTTATGTATTTGTATTTGTGTTCCAATTCGTATCCGTTCGCATACACGTGTCGATACAATTACTTGTTTTCTTCATTAATAACAGAAACTGTTTAGTTTCTTCCTTTACTGTTATACTAATCAACTGATACACTGATCAACCTAGCAGGGTAAGCATGCTCAATTTCTGAAAGTTTCTTAAGTTTTAATGTTTTAAAGAATCAAATCGAAAGTGTTTTCACTGATTATCTGTAAAAATGATTTTTTATTTTGTTTGTTAGAACTACTATGATTCTAGAAAACATCGAAATCGATCTAAAACAGGCGACCCTAATTTATATGTTTTGGACATAAAAGCAGCAAAACAGGTAAATGATGCTTTAGTTAGTTTCCGTAAAATGATTACTAGTAATACGAAATACCTTAAAATTAATGTGAACAGCATGTATAATAAGATAATTAAAAATACATTATAAACTAGTGATAATACTAAATACATATATTAGAAACTATAGAGTATGAAGAAAACCAACGTGCACCTGTACATAGTTTATAACATAACTAAGTGACGTCCGACGAAACACAACTACATATGTATGGGGACTTGCATATTATGAAGAAGGGAAATAGAACAAAAAAACATCGTCCAACGGTAAAATAAAAAGTGTAGGTCTGAATTATAACGATACTTCTGCAACACAGAAATGTCCGAAGAAAAATTACGATGACAAGTAAAATACAATATAGTATTAAAAAATACATTAGGTATACACAAGAATTACCTGTTGATCATACTATTATGTCAAAAACAACACGATTCAGAAAATATCAGTTGATTTTCTGATATCAAAATAGGAATATAATTAATTAAAACAATTTTCTAACTGAATTGCAGTTATTCGTTTGAATTTAATTTGTCAATTAAAGTCGTTGAAAGAAATGTTATTAAAAAAGACTTTTAAAGAGAATTTCCTGATCCTATCGAACCATTGATGACCACAGATTGTATGAAAGGTAATTGCAATTTTCTGTAAGCATCTTATTTGATCTTAATAGTTTTTTTAAAAATTTTCTGTTCTTCAGAATCCTAGCACAGAAAGTTGAATACCTAATTGAAGCAATTTAAGTACCTTTTACAAAAATGTTTAGAAATGAAGAAATTTGTTCGTTTTCGTCGAAGTGCCATTAGTTTCGCAGTAAGCATCAAATATAGCGTTGTTATCGTGTTTCAAAAACACCGAAATCCTTTCAGGAATAATTTTGCAGTTTCATCAACGACGCGAAATACCACTCTGCCATTTTCGTTTGCATCAAGATCCACTATTACATGTAATCAGCAACGTCAATCTCTGTGATTTACGTTAACAAGAAAATACTGCCATTTCCCGTCTTTTTTCACACTGTATAGCCGAAAAATTGATAACGCAAAATATCATACGCGGGGTTCGAATCGATTTTAATCCATCAAGGGTATTACCACTTCGAAACGAGTAAATTTGAGTTCATTTTAATCCGAGAGGGCGTAAAAGCGTATACAAATAATTTTTCTTTTTATAGAGAAGTTTCGATGTCCTGGGGTAATAAAATAATTAAAAAATACATTTATTAATACATTATGTATTTTAATAATTACAATGGATTTCAGGAATGATGTTTCATGAAGCTTTTCTTTTCAGTTTTATATTTACTTTTTCGATAAGCGGTAAGAGTATAATTTGAAAACTGATTCACGGTTCGCTAAATTGATTGTTCAAAGAGAGATGCTTATTATTATATATTCAAGGTTTATTTCTTCCTTAATTTAGCTTTAAGTGATACAAAGGTTAGGGTTTGTGTATGTATACATCTATTATTTATATCTTGTAAATAAAAGGGATGTTGAATAAGCACCATAAGGCCACGTCGTAAGTTTACAAAGTGCAAATGAAGAATTTAAAAATCTAAGTTTAGAAATTCAATAAGAATCGAATCATTAAATTTATCGCACGTTTTTCAACGCAATTGCACTTGTAACTAAAGCAAAGAACAAACAATATACGGTTCTCGTATATATTGAATGTTTTTGTAATTAATATTTACCCATCAATTTCGGGTAAAACTATTACATTGTAAACGGAAAATTTAATAAAATTTCCTATCTTCTTTATTCTTATTGATATTTACATAAATGTTCTTACAATCCCTCAATTCAAAAATATTAAAAATACTATCAAGACAAATAATCATTTTAGAAGAGAACATAATATCAATGGTATACAAGTGAATGTTCGTATCCTCTCCTTTATCGAGAGAAACTGATTAAATAAATGAATACCAAACAGAAAAAGAAATAGTGTAAATTATATTTTTGCCATTTCAAAAATAGTAACGTAGAAATTTGTCGGAACTCTCGTGTTACATTAATTTTGCGTGACGATGTCCGATGAAACCCTCCATTAGCACGTTACACGATTAGTATATTCTAGCGTTAGTTAACCGGGTATGGAATTTATCCGTGAATGCGCAAACACGCTTCCAGCGTGGCGGTTTAAGCGGACTTCGAACTACTTTGGAATATCCATTATTCAGTGTACATCTTGTTTAAAGCAACAGGTTCGAGAGTCCCGGCAGTCGCCACGAAGGGGTTAATGCCCATGATGGATTAAAGAAGGGTAACGCAAGGATTACGCGGTCTTACTACGACCTGATCTTTAATTTCGCAATCGATAGGAATTCATCCAGCTTTAGTGTCAGAGATCGAAATTATCCCGCCATCCTGTGTCAGCGTTTCTCAAACTTCAGTAGAGAAGAGTCGAATTATTGTGCTTGTACTACATTTTAAAACTGTCTTCTAAAAATATTTCTGTGTTGAAACAAATTTCATATAATTCAAATAGTTTCATATATTTTAATTTAAACTTCGTATACAATGTTTACTGAAGCAATAGATAAAAATAGTATGAAGCTGAATGAAGTTTTCTTGAAATTTCTTTAACATAGTTTATTACGAAAGAATTTTTATTGTTTAGGAATAGAATAAAATTACGTCATTGTTATCGGAAGATTATATTTCTTTTGTTAGAAGAACATTGGATATTTGAACAGTGATAAACGAATGTCAATGATCCTAGTTTCATGATGAATGTGTATTCCTTTCAGAAACTTGTTAGTCGATATAGGCAATTACAACTTCTCGAGTAATCTCCTCTGTTGATCCCGTAAGTCTCTGTGCGTCGACGAAAATTGAAAAAAAAAAATGGTACGAAAAACCCAATCGCAATATATGAAATCTCCCCCAAAGTATCGCGCGAAATAACCACTATAAATTGCATAGTATGGGTGCAATTACTACTGAATTGTGCTAATACTGCAGTGCGCTCTGGTGTCGTTTAAACAAGCCGTTTATTATACGCGATACTATCAACAGCTTAACGTTACCAATAAATTACGACCGATTATGAAAATCTCCGACACGAAGAAGAAATTGACGTCGATGCGCAAACATTCAAAATATTTTCAGACCGACAGCGTCTGCAAATGTTCGAGGAATTGTGACATATCAAAGATGCTACCAAATGTCAAAGATCGGAAACAAAGCGAAAGGAAAATATTGTCCAGGAGTTATAGAGTTTCCAAAGAAACTAGATGCCCTAGGCCTTTCTTCTACGTAAGCGACGCGATCGAAAAAAATGTCTGAATATTTCTTTGAAGATCAATTTGAATACTTTTTGTTTTATATGATTTTATTTTTCGTCGTATCTACTGCTTGGTAATTAGCGACGGATTTAGTTGGATTTCTGTTTGATTAGTGGTGCTATATATTATTGTAGAGTTTAAGTTTTAATATTTTGTTTAATTTTTGCCAGCTGAAGAGAACATTAAATATATATTTTGTATAATTAATAATTAGAATGACTCCTTGGTATAAGATTAAGAAAGATTAATCCAATCCAAGCATACTGTTCGTACTGCTTAAATGATACGATTACGTACTTTCTTAGTCTTCATAAGCGATGCAAAGGAAACTATCATACAGGATAATGTTGCATTAAATATATATTTTAGTACTGTATTCGATCTGGCAGTTATTCGATCGCGACACTTACGTGGAAGAACAGTCTAAATCAGTAGCTTCCAAATTACTTGAAAGACTATCTCCCAAAAAGAGAGAATTTCTGCGCCCGAAATTGATAACGAAGAAATTTGTATACATTCAGTTTAATTAACTTGAGAGTAAACAATTTTCCTCTATTTTAATTAAGTGAACATTTTGACTCATTGTATGTTATTAAAAAAATTATCTGAAGATTGACTCTGACCAAATTAAATTCTTGCACACTGTTTGCGCTAATAAATATATTATATTTGCGATACTCCATGAACCTTCATGATGATACGAGCACATATATATATATATATATATGTATGTGTACGTTTAGTTGTTAAGTTGTTTTAAATACTATAACTTGAAAACCATTGTGAATAAACATACATAATTAAACTTCCGTGGGATGTAACGGGGCGCATAGTAAACTATTTCATGAATGCAATAGATTAATTAGAATTTTAATTTACTTTATAAAAAGCAATTCGTCTTTGAAGATGTTAAGAGTAGTCAAGTTTCAGCATTTTAAACTGACTACATTCATGTAAAATGTATCAAATTTATTGTTTGTTTCTTTTACTGTCAACATGATTCCATACTCATGGAACAAAAAATAAAAATAAAAAAGTGTTGACTTCGACAAATTCATAATTTAAAAATGTCAAAAACGAATAATAGAGGAACAGACTTATACTTGTTACTAAAAACCGAATAAAAATTGAAATTGGATTACAGAATGAAGTATTTCTCAAAGAACAAATTAATAAATCAAACAAACGTCACGAATAAATTGCTATACGTTGATTATTCAAATAAAACTTTATCCATTCTTGATATCTACCCGCAGGTTATTCAAAACTCAGTTCCTATTTCGTCGATATATGAATTTTTTCAATAACTCGAAACTCAAATAGCTCATACGTATACTAAAATATCTAAAAATCTCTAAAACAGTTTCTTTAAAATTTTGAAGCACGACTACTCTCTGTCAAATGCTACAAGATACATATACGCCAACGATTGTTAAATTTCGATGAGTAAATGTATCGATATAAATAGATGTTTAAGTTAACCACGCTTTCCTGTACGTAAGCAATTTCCTTCGGAATGTTTTGTTGAATTGCGAGGCGCCTTCTTAATTTGGAAAACGTTACCCCAAATAGTCACCAGCTATTTGTAAGCGTTTGAAGAAGGTCAGTTTCCCCAGGAAAACCTCTCTCGTGATCTATGTCACGCTTTGATTTTCACCTTAATTGCACAGTTTCAGAGACCACTCCATAATTAACACAGTTCAGCTCTCGGCGAGAAGGGAGAGGCGTGGCGGGCTGGTGTTTTGCCCCCGTGTTCCTTTCGTGCTAATTTATATCGATAGAGAACGATGGCGCATATCCGCACTATACGAGTATCGGCCTGAGTATAATAACGTTAACGCGTCAACCTGGCGGATCCTGTAAATACGAGTAAATAGTCTAAATAATTATAGAAAAAGATACAAGGGCAAGGCGGAGCGTTCCTGTGGCGCGGACAAGTTTCTAATCGTGTTTACCAAAGCCCAGAGCACAGGTGTCAATTTCAAAATTAAAGGGAGGAGAGGGAAAAATGAGAAAAGGGAGAAAGTAAGGGAGATTCTGTACGCGTCGCGTGGAGCACTCGGTTCTGCTTCGCATTGATTTAGAGTAAGTTCACCGAAGCGTCCGGTTAGGTATCATGTTATGGCCGCGTGTTGATCTCACAAGCGAAATGATCCAAACATCTGGAATCGATTCGACTTTTGGTGAACATTCTTCGAGGAAAAACGAAAATTAAATACCACTTTTCATTCGATTTGTTTAACTATTTCATTTCACTTATCCATAATTACATAAAAATAAAAACGAAGATAATAGTGTTTCTTTGTATTATGTTGTATTATGTAATGTGTAATATAAGTTAAAATATGTGTAGTGTAAGCAAAAGTAACTTACGTTAAACTATGAAGAAGAAGCAAGCCCCGTTGAATAATTACTAACAGTATAATAAGAATCAAACTTTTCATAACTTTGACTTATTGCTTTTCATTTAGTTTTTAAAGAATATTTTTATTTCGTCTGAGGATGACCAGTGAATACAATTAATCTTGTTCATGTCATATGACAATGTTCGTTGTTCATCAGTAGGAACGACATGATACGTGACTTTTGTAATAGTGGGGTCTATTCTTCTTTCCTCAATGAACACGTCTTTATGGATAAACCATTTGTTGCGTCATTATTGATTGTGCATAAACTTAATACTTATTGTTTGCACGTGTGTATGTATATTTGTTATCAATTAATCTTTATATATAAAATCCATTCTATGTGATACTTTCTTTCCTCAATAACGGAACCAGTAAACAGACAAAACGAATACCTTCCTTATTTTATTATATAGAGTAATAACAAAAATCTAAAACCTATCAAGATCGATACCTTATGTGTATAGAAATCAAAAAGTCCTTTACTATTTTCCAATTCGGTCATTCGTTATCGAAATAGAAACGATTAAAGTGTACCACTGGAACTCTCGACGCGGACCGCTCGTAGCCGAGGTTGTTTACCTTTCGGTTGCGCGCGCGTGCTCCCGCACGTGACTATGTGCTCGCGCGAACACTCCGCGTGACCATGCGCTCGCGCCCACTCCACATGGTTCATGCGTTGCCATGAGTAGAAACTTTAACTATCAATATCTCCATAACAAAGGATCTGATTGAAAAATGGCAAAGGACTTTTCGATTCGTATTGGCTCTAAGTATTCATCTTCAAGAAGTATTCTACATTTTTACTAACAACTGCTATATCTCCGTAACAAAGTCTTGGAATGAAAAATAAAAAAGGACTTTTACTATACATATAGTTAGTCCCATAAGTATTACCCTCTATGTCTGTCGAAGGAATTTATCTAAATCAAATTGTTGGTTTAATATTTTCAAATAAAAATTTCATTATAATATTAGGTTGTCCGAAAAGTTTCTTCCCTGGCTTGCATTCAGTTATTTTGTGTGGCACTGTTCATATAAACAGACAACCTAATTTCTTAGATGCTAATATTGTAACAGTAATGGAGCAAAATAAATCGTACACAATTCAACAATGTAACATTAGACATAAAATATCGTGTATGTATTACTTATTACTGAAATGGAAGAAACTTTTAGGACAACCTAATGTATACGTATGTAGTTTATTTATGTTGTACGTATTTATAATGAAAAATTTATTTGGAAATATAAAACCTACTATTGAATTTAGATATATTTCTTCAGTAGTCATAGTGGGTACGAATGTACACAGTGGGACTGACTGTGTAATGATTAATACAGGAAAATTGGTATTGATAGTAAAATATGAACAAATTCCAAGGTTAACACTAAGCACAGGAATAAAATAATTTAACTAGAAAGAGTTTTAAAAGCCTTTTCAATTATTTTGAATTCAGAAGAATATGAATTTTATTTTAATAGCTTGATGCACGTTGACAGTTTCCTAAATATATTGGGAAAACTATACATTTATTTATTAGAGGTAATTGCATAGAACGAATTAAACTGCTTCAAAATGCGACGTTGGAATAATTGATTTAAAAAAAAATTTTAAACATAAATCTGAAATCACAAAGAAGTGTAACAGAAATTTGATACAAACACTGATTAACGGATTTTACACCTGCTTGTTTCAAAATGATAAACAAAATTGAAATTGCAAACGAAATAATATATTGGTTACTTTTGCATATAATTATGCGACGAAATCTTCTAATAAAAAGATACGAACCTTTTTCATTTATATACATACAGTTTATATAATTTAAAATATGGCTGCACAATTTGTTTATCAAATATATACAATTGAATATCCAGAGGTAAAAATATTATTTAAATGTTATCTATCTAGTTTGTGTTTTTCCTTATGATACTCCTACATTAAATATGAATTATGCATTTAATGTATTCCTGACGCAGATCTGAAGGAAGGTTGAAACGTAGAATGAATAATAAACAGTGGGTGTTCTCAGGCAAAAAATGTTTTGCTACCTCAATTCAACTTCCTCTATGACCAGCAGAAGGAAAACCTAAAACCTAACTTTCAAATGATACTACTAAGCAAAATAAATACTACATTTTCATACTTAATTTCACCAATAATTACACATACCCTATTGGCTGAAACGAATTAAATTTATCAAATTATTCAAATGTATCCAACATTTCCACCAGCCTTAATGATAACTTTAATATTTCAAGAAATCTTTGGGTTCATGAAATTTTATTATTCTTTCAAACAAGATCCAACAGCTATTGAATGAAAGCATATAAAAAAGCTTTCATAGGTATGTCACAATACCCTCTTTAAAATAAGTAACATTTATCAAACTAATTAAGTTAACCAAAAACTTCTACCTCCAAAAGTAGTTTCGATATTCAGAAGCTTCCCGTCATGTTCGACGGGAAAAAACGAATCGGTTCCAGGTGCTTCGGATGACGTCGCTTGCGAGACACTTTCGTTTCGTCGTTCGTTGATTTCACCGTTTTTGTACGGTCCGCTGTAAAGAAGCAAGGGGTGACACAGAAAAGTAAATACCATGTAGGGTGGATATTTTGACCTTAGCGTTACGTATAACGAAATCGACGCGAAGGGAATGGTCGTCGTAGCGGTTAAGTGGTTACAAGTGGTCGGCCGCATCGTTTCCGCTCGAAGCTCGACGGGAGCTTGATACCGAAGTTAAACCAAAGTTAAACGGAACCGAGACCCGATATTTTCCTTAGGTAATATCGAAGGGGGAAGTTTGTACATTGAATTTAGCCCTTACGCGTAAACTTGCGCACTAAGTACGGCGCTAATTAAAGCGAGCGTCGATATTTAATATTACCGATGCTGTTAGCGAGCGCTGCTGGATGAGACATGGTAGACACGAACCACCGAGAAGTTTCGAACTTGACGCGATAAGAATGATTCCCTTATCGATGGTAATCCCTCGAAGGAAGCTTGAGTAACTGGTCAAGTAATCAAGGTTGAGGAAATTATTTTAACCGATTTCAGAGGGAGGAAAATTCTTTCTCCTTCTTTAATGACGAACTAACCTAATTACTTAATTAATTCAATTAACTGAGTATTAAATTAATATAAGGTATAATTTATAATCACTGAATTGATATATAAATATAATTATTATATTAATTTGAATACGTTCTTCTCATGCATTAATTTAGTAAATTCAGTTATGAAGATGACTCTAATGAGAAAAGTTTAAACGCACACGAATAGTAGCTTCATAATTCGTTAAATAATAATCTCATAAATTTTATGAGATTTTTAATTTTTGAAGAAATTAGCAAATTAGAAGTTACGAAGATGTCCCTACAATCAAAACTAAGTCTTATCGAGTAAAGCTCACAAAGGAAAAGCTTCGTCAAACGTCCGATTTCTCAGACAGCTACCCAAGTTTCTATCGAGCCCAAATGAAAGATGAATTTTGATATCGTAATATTTACTTTTGTAGAAAACAAAAATAGAGGTACATGAGTTATTTTACTACTTAGAATTTGATGTAAGCAGCTGCTCAAATGAATGAACGTGCGAAAGAACTGAAGTCGAATACTATAATAGTAATTCAAACGTATTTGCCACGAATTTCAAAAGAAAACGATGCGGTCGAGACTTGCGGATAAAATGAATTAAACGCGAAGGTATATATGTATACATAACACAGAATATAAATATATAAATATATAAATATAAATATACGAATTAAGAGGGACTATTGAGTAATGATATATCATATATATATTGTATGTTACATGATATATTATTATAATACTATTATGCTTTGCGCCGTTGAGTTGAATGTTGTTATTTACATGAGAAAACAAATGAGAGAAATTCTTATGGATACACTCGACATATGTAATAAAATGTGGGCGAAGTAACTGCCCTTGAAAACCTCTCTGATTCGTTCTTGTTTATAATCATTACTTTCCCCCACTTCCCTACAGCAATCTTTTTGCGCTTTCAAGCTAATATTTATACATTAAACTCATATAACATTAACTATTTTTGACTGTATCTGTAGAATTTAATGTTCTATATCATTTTGTACGTTATCAAGAGTCTCTATCACTTATATTTCAATGATAAATATAATAGTAATAAACACTGTGTTGATCAGATTAAAATTAAAAATTGAGGATCGCCACAGTAATCAAGTTTCATAACGTCAATAACGCAATTTAAACAAAAAGCAAGTTGTTTATGGATCTAATAAGCGTTAATATACGAGATAACATTAGCAAACGTATCATATTGTGTAGTAAACTCAATTTAATATACAGTAATCTATGTCCTTTGACATTTAGTAATTAATATTGAAAAAACAATGCAAAATGGAATTCTGGCACAGACAAGATTCATTGGAAATTAAACTATACGTATCGACTAAACAATTTATTAATTTTATCAGCGAAATCGACCTGCTCTAACAACATTATTATCTCGGAGATTTGTTAATATGCATTCCATTACGGCTACAATTTACTCTTTTATATTAAACGAACCGTACCTTCTTACGAGGTGACATCGCGAATTGTGTTACGAATTTTTTAATCAGCTTTTTCTCAGATGTAAATATATTTATAATATCAAATAATAAGCTTTCCAATCCATACTTCAAAGAACTGTGTGTTTTTATATCTAATAAACTTATTGGATGTTTAATACTTTCTTCATTCAACAGTGCCTTTTCTTTTTAATATTTTTATAGTTTATTTGACAAAAATTGAGAAACGAGCATACAGTCAACAGTTCTGGTAAGGAATATGAATTAGAATACCATTGTTCGTATCTATACATCATATATCACACTTGAATCGACATTGAAATGCGTTTTCTCAAGTAATGCATGGATTTTCTAGTGTCTATTCAGGACCATTGTAAATATTAAAAACTCCTCTTGCAAACGTTGCTCGTGGAACACTTTATCCAAGAACATTATAAAAATTATTTAGAATTCTGTATCTGTGATATCATAGATGCATAACCATGAGATGGGTATTGTTCAGGTAAACGCTTAAATGATCCCGTCGATCGTAACTATGTGTGAATGTTTTGTAATCATCGCTGAATGTAGTCTCTCTTCTATGAGAGAATCTTTGTTGATTTTTTCTTACAGCAATTTCAGACGATATTTATGTATTCTGTGTTTGAAAATGTATCAATAAAATATCATGTGTCAAGTGAAATCTTGATTTAAATCCAATAACGATGATCCTTAACGAAAATGAGTTTTCTAGTAATTTACAAAAGAATTCATTTTTTCCTTTATAAA